AATGAGCACGTGCATGTATGGAATGAGCACGTGCATGTATGGAATGAGCACGTGCATGTATGGAATGAGCACGTGCATGCATGGAATGAGCACGTGCAAGTATGGAATGAGAACGTGCATGTATGGAATGAGCACGTGCATGTATGGAATGAGCACGTGCATGTATAGAATGAGCACGTGCATGTATGGAATGAGCACGTGCATGTACGGAATGAGCACGTGCATGTATGGAATGAGCACGTGCTGCACTTGGAATGACCACACCACACATGGTGACATGCCATCACATACATGGTCACATGCCCCACACACATGGTCACATGCCCAACACACATAATCACACGCCCCACATGTATGGAAGAGGCAAGGCAGCACTGTGGTGTGCCCACGGAGGCAGTACCCACCATCCAGACACATGCACATACAAGACAACACACCCTCTTGGTCGCATTCCCCTCACACACACATGGGATGAGATGAGCACACTACATGTGATGGCATGCCTCTCTCACATACGTACATGGAAGAGGCACGGCAGCACTGCAGTGAGGCCAAGGAGGTAGTACCCGCCATCCAGGGCCGGGCCAAACACCACCTGCAAGGGAACCCAAGGGGCGCAATGAAACACGAGATTGACTTCACAAACAATCCTGATCATCAGCCACGCGCCTCTGTAATCCTTTCCTGCAAACCCATTCACATCTGCCACACAGCCCACTTCCAGCCAGCCCTGCATATTTGCTACCCCCCTGTCCTCCTCTCACCTGGTGGTGCCTGAGCGACAAAAGAGCAGCGGCCACAGTGGCGCCACCCACATCAGGGATATGTGATCCTCTCACCATCTTACTTCACAAAGTGCCCACACAATTCCCTTGTACCTCCTCTGACATAGTGGTGCCCTTCTTCCCCTCGCCTCCACTCACCTGGTGGTTTCTAAGAGCAGAGAGCGCGGCAGCCACTGTGACCCCATCCACATCAGGGATGTCGGTTCCGATCACCACCACCTGTCACGAGCATGAGGACAGCGAGACAAGCGGAGCACAGTGGAGAGAAGAGAGAGTGAGCAGCAGCAACAGCGGCACCACCCACATCAGGGATGTCTGATCTGATCCTATGGCGGAATGTGGGAGGCAGAGAGAAGAGCGCATGCAGTGGAGAAAGCAGCAACAAAAGACAACGGCTTTTCAAAGGGTGACGGCATGGACAGGTGAGGAGAGGAGAGCAAGGAACACAAGCAAGGATTCGAATTAAGGCCGAGTGAGCACCGGTAAACATGGCAACGACTTTCGTTTAGGTAAAAATGTCGAGGGTGCTTTCTTGTTAACCCTTGTGCAAAGAGTGGAAAACTGGGAACACTGCTGGAAATTCGATAAAAGAGTGCAAGCAGACTGATTTGCTGCTACTTACAGACTTCACAAAACTCATTCTATGGTATCAACATACATTTTTCCCGAACCTCACCCTACAGAAACCCAGTTGTGCTCTCACCCGCTGGTATCCCAGGCCCAACACGTGCTGGAAGGCTGCTTGCATGCGCGCCCCCACGTCTCCCCCCACCTGCATGGGGGTTTAAGGTTCTATGGTTCCAAGGTTCAGGTTTCGGGTTTAGGGCGGTGGAAGGCTGCTTGCATGTGCACACCCACGTCCGCCCACAACTGTATGGGGTTAATATTTGGGTTAGGGTTCTAGGGTTTAAGGTTAAAGTTTCATTTTTAGGGAGGTGGAAGGCTGCTTGCATGCGTGGTGCCCCATGTCTCCCCCTACCTGCATGGATGGTGGCAAGGGAGCGATCGATGCATGCATGGAATGGACCATGGCATATGGGCGGCATGCGTGCCTGCGTAGCATGTGGGAATGATGGTTAGGAGTGTGAGCACGGGATGTGAGCATGGGGTGTGAGATTAATTATGGGCACTGGGTGTGAGCATGGGGAGAAATTGCAGAGCTGATATGAGGTGGAGAGCTCACCTGAGGCACAAAGCGGAGGGAGGTGGAGGAAGGCAGCAGCTGCTGCATCCACCGTCGGATCTCGCCTTCATCCGACGGCTCAGAGAAGAAGATGAAGACATGCGTGGATGCGTGCCTGCCTGCCACACCACAGCACCGGCTGATCATGATGAACATCACAGCCGTGACTGATCAAACTGAAGACCACAGCTACCTAGGGCACCGCAATGGTCGCATTGAGCATGGCATGAGCTACGAGATTGCGGCAGCATCATCGTCAGACATGCAATCTCTGCGACCATAAATGTATCTGAGCCACTCTTGAGAATTCTAACAAAGACTCAGCTGGACGTCACGCTAATAGCCCCGTACTCGCCAGAAGCCCTGCGCCTCGCTATAGTCACGTACAGCTCGGGGCAGCGCTCGATATTGGCGAAGACGTGTCCGCAGCACGCGTGGTAAAAGGCGACCTTTGAGTCGACTTGACAGTCACCTCGCTATAGTCACGTACAGGTCGGGGCAGCGCGCGATATTGGTGACGACGTGCTCGCAGCACGCGCGGTAGAAGTCGCACGCCGCGTCCGCCCCCACGCCGGCCGCCAGGCGCGTCTTCACGCGCCCCGGCGCTGGTCGCTTCACGAAAATCATCACCGCCTGCTGCGCGCCGAGCGGCTCCCGCGCTTCACTCCGCGCCTCTTCCGCTTCGCTCGCACTCACTTTAGGGTCGCTCATTCTGGCGTCGCACACTCCCGTCGCTTATTCGTTCAGGCTCGCTCAACAAGAACGAGGAGACTGAGGCTACTGAGAGAACGACGGTGTCTGAGTCCTGAAACGACGATGGCGATTGCCTCGCTGCGGGTGCGGCAGTCACGCGGTGCGGGTGAACAGCGAGAATGATCGAGAGACGGACAGCTCAGCTGAGCGTGTCGAACGGACGCGCCTGCGCTTTGCGATGTGGCGGCAAGTTTTAAACAGGGTGACTGGTCAACGGCCGTGAAGGGGGAAGAGAGGGGAAGAAGGAAGCAATGGTTGACCAGCAAAGAGAAAGTCTCTTTCACGTTTTAAATTATGATTCAGTGAGGTGCTTTACGTTCTACAACTTTCACAGATCATCAAATGGGAGAGTATTGCAGCCCCTTCTGCATTCGCTTGGCGTTTCCCTGTTGGCTTGCGGAGGCATTTGGTTCAATCGCCTATCTCGCGATGTTCTCGAAGCAGCTCGTTCACCAATAGGCTTCGAGTTCCTCCTAGTTGTCCAATGAGATCCTGGCTCTGGAACACCGACCATCCTACTTCCGGAGAATCACATTGACGACAGCACGCAAACGTCGCGAACGCAGGCGAAAGAGGGGGGATCCGTTGGCGGGAGGATTACCACACAACCAGATCTCCGCTGCAGCAGCGGCGTAGGAAAATCCTCAGCAACAATCCAATACATTTGCTGAATCTGTAGCTTACCTGCTCTAGTTGCTAGCTTCAGATCAGAAAAGTCTAGTGAAGCGGAGATTCACATATTCCTTGTGTTTTTTCGCCACGTCGTAGTGCTTCGAGCACAGATCACGACAAGGTAGTTGGCGCATACTATCGCATACTGTCGCCTACGGTCGCACACTATCGGATACCATCCGCCATTCGCCATGAGCGAGAGCAGCGCAGCGACGGCCACGGCGACAGTGGCAGGCGTCAGCTTGGAGCAACGCCGGGCAGCGGCCGACGCAACGCAGCCGTCCGTCGCGCCGGACGCCGGCAACGTGAAAGATACCGACGCGCTGAAGGACAAGGCGAAGCCACGTGGCGCGTCGCCGCGAAGGCGGTCCGGATGGCTCGTGCTGGTACTCGTGGTTCTGGTGGCGGCAGCGGCGGGCGCGGGTTATTATTTGAGGCGGGAATACAGCGAGTATATCGCAATCGACGACGACGGGGAAACCGAGAGTGAGGGCGAAGCGCCTCCGGCTGAGAAGGCCGGGACGCGGTCGAACCCGCGGAAAGCCCAATGGCAAGCCGATGTGAGTCGCTGCGTTCGTCGCTGGATGCGTCGCGGATGCGCGTCGTCTGTCGTTGCGTACGCCGCAAGGCTGGTGACAAGTGCCTGCGATCCGTTATTGCCAACCCATCCATTCTCGTAGTATCTGCGTCTCATCGTGTTCTTCGTGCCTATATACTCCAACGGTTAACTCGGGTGTACATCCTCTGCGCGCGCGTCTCATACTTGACGCACTCACGCACACACACACACACACACACACACACACACAAACACACACACACACACACACACACACACACACACACACACACACACACACACACACACACACACACACACACACACACACACACATACACGCACGCACGCACGCACGCACGCACACGCAATCACACACGCACACGCAAACGCACACTTACATTTTGCTTAGTCAGCTTACCCAATGCACGGGGTTTTTTCACCCCCATCCGCCGCTTCCCATCTGCGCGCTTGCATCCCATGCCTCACTTTCTCGATTGTCACTGGCTCGATTGTGACTGTCGCGCTAGTGACTGTATCGAGTGTAACAGACGCTGTGGAGCGCGGAGGAGCTGGCCAAGTACAACGGGTCGACGAAGGGCCTTCCGCTGCTTTCCATACCCATCCTCTGTTTCCCATGCCCATGCCCTGCACCCTCGCATGCCATGCCTCACTGTCCCCATCGTGAATGTCTCGTTTGTGGCTGTCTCGTTTATAACAGAACCTGTGGAGCGTGGAAGAGCTGGCCAAGTACAACGGGTCAACGAAGGGCCTTCCCCTTCTTCTCATGCCCATACTCTGCCTGCTCGCATGTCATGCCTCACGTGTTGCTTGTGACTGTATCGAGTACAACAGAAGCTGTGGAGCGCGGAGGAGCTGGCCAAGTACAACGGATCGACAAAGGGCCTTCCGCTGCTGCTGGGCATTCTGGGGTGAGTGGGGCGTGGGCAGGCAAGGGTGAGTGGCGCGTGGGCAGTCTTTAGGTTGAGTGAAGAGTGGAAGTTGGTTGAATGCCCACTATGAGGTTTGAAAATGGGTGCTGCTGGTGTTAGTGCAGGTCACATGCTGCCGCTATGCCCCATGCCTCTTGCTCCATGCACCATGCCCCATGCCCCAAGCAGCATGCCCCATGCCCCATGCACCATGCCCCATGCCCCATGCCCCATGCCCTATGCACCATGCACACACCATGCTCCATGCCCCATGCCCTATGCACCATGCACACACCATGCCCCATACCCTGTGCCCCCCGTGCCCTGTACCCCATACCCCATATCCCATACCCCATATCCCATACCCCATGCCCCATACCCCATATCCCATACCCCATATCCCATACCCCATGCCCCATACCCCATATCCCATACCCCATATCCCATACCCCATGCCCCATACCCCATACCCCATACCCCATACCCCATATCCCATACCCTACGCCCCATACCTCATATCCCATACCCCATATCCCATACCCCATATCACATACCCCATATCCCATACCCCATACCCCATACCCCATATCCCGTACCCCATGCCCCATACCCCATATCCCATACCCCATATCCCATACCCCATGCCCCATACCCCATACCCCATACCCCATTTCCCATACCCCATGCCCCATACCCCATATCCCATACCCCATATCCCATACCCCATATCCCATACCCCATACCCCATACCCCATGCCCCATACCCCATGCCCCATACCCCATATCCCATACCCCATATCCCATACCCCATATCTCATACCCCATACCCCATACCCCATATCCCATACCCCATGCCCCATACCCCATATCCCATACGCCATATCCCATACCCCATATCCCATACCCCATATCCCATACCCCATATCCCATACCCCATATCCCATACCCCATGCCCCATACCCCATATCCCATACCCCATGCCCCATACCCCATATCCCATACCCCATGCCCCATACCCCATATCCCATAACCCATGCCCGAACGGGTTTGACATGACCAAGGGCGAAAAATACCGCGCCTCATTTCTGCTGCTCCATGCCCCAAGTTCCATACCCATAATACCCCATGCCCCGTATTCCATACCCATAATACCCCATGCCCCATATTTCATACCCATAGTTACCCATGCCCCATATTCCATACCCATAATACCCCATGCCCATACCTGCAGGGACGTGTTCGACGTGACCAAGGGCAGGAAGCACTACGGCAAGGGGCAGGGGTACAATCACTTCGCTGGCAGGTCAGAGCCCCAGGGTGCCACGTCAGAGCTTCAAGGTGCCAGGTCAGCCAGGCTCAGTGTCCCAAGCCAGCAGGTCAGCTCCTCAGGGTGCCATGTCAGCCTTAGGGTGCCAGGTCAGAAACTCACGTTGCCAGGCCAGAGCTCGAGAACAACTTCAAAGCGGCTGTGTCATGAAGGCCAGAACGCTGTGAGCCGCGAATGGATTTTCAGGCATTCGTGCGGTCTGCATATGACCAGACGACACCCCACAGAGCTCAGCAATTCAGCTCGCCTTTTGAAGCGCCACAAAACACGCCTGGCCAGGTTGACGAGTGTCGAGATGCTCCTGACACGCCTGCTGCGGTGCTTCAGTTATCATTTCCGATGTGGGATATCTGTGTTTCTAGACACTCTACAGCTGCTTAATTAATGCTGGTCGATAGGGTGTGCTTAGGGCAACAAACTCACTTCCTTGATGTGTCGAGAGTTTGCCTTGTATGCATCCCAGAGTGTAGTGCTCGGAGGGTTCAATTCAATTCAAGATGGATTCAATCGAACCCATCTCTGAGCGTGCAAGCTCGTGCGTTGCTCCTTTGCCATGCCATCGGCTGTCTCGCACTCACTCCTTTCCACACCTCTCTCACGCCTCGCCCTTTTCTTCATTAATCACATCCCCTCTCACAGGGATGCCACAAGGGCATTTGTCTCGGGCAACTTCTCAGGTATGACGGACCATGCCGTGCTATGCCATGCCATGCCATGCCATGCCATGCCATGCCATGCCATACCACACCACGTCAATACCATAGCATACAATACCATTCCATCACATACCGTAGCATATCATACCATATTGCATCATACCCTACCATACCATACCATGACAAACTATGCGATGCCATAGCATGACATGCATGCATGTGTGGTAAGCCGCTGTCCTATTCAAATTGAGCTCCTTTGTCCATGTCTGACCATCCAACATCCACCAGCACCGCTTGCCACCGCATGGCACCACAGGTACACCCTCCCTTTCCCCCGCTCTCCCTACCTGTTCAATCCCTTCCCGCCCCTTTCCATCCCTCTCCATCCTACAGGTGACGGCTTAACGGACGACCTGACAGGGCTGTCAGGAGAGCAGTGCATTGGCATTGCAGACTGGCGCGACTTTTACTTCAAGACCTACATGTGAGACGGAACCCTGTGCATGAGACGTACATGTGAGACGGAACCCTGTGCATGAGACGTACATGTGAGACGGAACCCTGTGCATGAGACGTACATGTGAGACGGAACCCTGTGCATGAGACGTACATGTGAGACGGAACCCTGTGCATGAGACGTACATGTGAGACGGAACCCTGTGCATGAGACGTACATGTGAGACGGAACCCTGTGCATGAGACGTACATGTGAGACGGAACCCTGTGCATGAGACGTACATGTGAGACGGAACCCTGTGCATGAGACGTACATGTGAGACGGAACCCTGTGCATGAGACGTACATGTGAGACGGAACCCTGTGCATGAGACGTACATGTGAGTTGCTTCGTGCAAGCAACATTCATGCGAGGAACCCCATGTGCGAGAGATGCATGAGTCTGTGCATGGGGCGCTTGACCCTGCCTGCCTTCACCCTCACCCTTTCTCCTCCGTGGATTGCCCTGCCCTCCTTCCTAGCAGCCACGTGGGGAAGCTGGTGGGTCGATTTTACGACGAGCAGGGGAAGGCGAAGGATGTTCTGGGCGAGTTTGACGAGCTGCTCAAGGAGGGCAAGCGGCAGAGAGACGTGGCCACGGCTGGGAGAGTGCAATAGTCAATCCGTTCTGCATTTATCCGTCAACCTGTGTCTCTCGGCTTACCCTTGCAGCCACGTGGGCCAGCTAGTGGGGCGGTTTTAAGACGAGCAGGGGAAGGCGAAGGATGCTCTGGGCGAGTTTGACGAGCTGCTCAAAGGAGGGCAAGCGGCTGAGAGACGTATCCAAGGCAGCGGAGAAGAAATATTCCGGGTGCAAGCTCCTTCCCAGCTCCTCCCTCCCCACGCATCTCTCCCCACGCCCTTTTCAACACTCATCGTTTGAGGCGTCTCAGTGGCCAAGGGGGTGGAGAAGAAGTACCCCGGGTGCGCAAGGTGGGGAAGAAGTACCCCGGGCGCAACCCGTGATGGGCGCAGAACGAGGGCGGCAAGGTAACGTGTCCCCCTCCCTGCTCTTTTCCAAGTCCTCCCTCCGCTGCGCATCTCTCTCCAACCCCCATTCCCCACTCATGGTTCTGCGTTCCTGCCTTGTTCCCCACTGCTCTTCCCTTGCTCAATACCTCCCTGTTCCTCCCTCCTCGTTGCTCCTTTCTCTCACAAGGCTGATGCGGTGGAGACGAGGTACCCTGGATGCATTCTTTCATTCTTAGATGGGCTCAGAATGAGGGCGGCAAGGTGGTGTCTTTCTCTCCTCGCATCTACTCCCCGCCGTCTCTACCCTCCCTGCTCCTACCCCCTTCTTGCCCCTCTCTCCCCCTCCTTTCTTGTGAGGCACCCCAATGCTGTGGAGACGAGGTACCCCGGGTGCAACTCGCGATGGGCTCAGAACGAGGGTGGGACGGTGCAGCCACTCTCTCTTCGCGTTCACTCCCTGCCCTGCCCTCTCCTCCCTCCCTGCTCCAACCTCCTCCCCCACCCGAGAGAGCATTGTAGTTATAATTGTCAGTGCCACTGATTGGTGCTCTACACCATGCTTATAGTCTGAGAATTCACACACGCATGAATCTCTTGTGGGTTGCATTGCATACAACGGGCAGCCTGCTGCTTGTCACACCAGCATGTGCACGTACGGTAGTCTTTTCACATTGACTGCTGTTTTGTTGAATGCCGTAGGAGTTATAAATTGGAGTGATAGACTAAACAAAAGCCCAACAAACCTTCAACAACATCCGAACGAGCTCCCACCCACCCAAGATCAACCATGCACAACTAAAACGCTAGACAGAGCAATTCACGTCACCACACTATCTTGAATTGAAGACAATTCAGTCACTACCTCCCACGTGGCAGGTCACGGAACCCGTTAGCAGGTCACAACGCATCAATCTCTTGGGGATATTGTCACCCTTACAAGTGCACATAGTCAAGTCTTTCCACGTTGACACTGCTGTTTTGTTGAATTTAGAATGATAAATTGGAGTTCCCATGAACCATAAACAACTGGAAATTCACATGCCCAACGTCCGAACGACTTCCAGCCAAAAAAAGTACATGCACCTAAGCAAGCAACTACAACGCTAGAACAATTCAAGTCACCTTACTTTCTTGAAATGAAGACACTTCAGTCACTACCTCCCACTCGCCAGGTCATCGTACGGTGGACCTCTCGTTTCATATTCCTGCGTTCGCCGGTCACTGAACCCGGATCACGGTGCCTTTCGCGACGGGGTCCTTGCAGCGGCGACCGTTGTTGAGCGCCGCGAATCGTAACTGCTTGCCGCGGAAGTACTGCTTCAGCAACACGCTGCACGACTCGCCGCGCGTTTCGTAGTACTCCGGCACATTCATTTTGTGAATCAGCCTCCCCGCCGTTAACGGAACTGGGTTACACATATAAAACAACTTGATAAGTAGCTGAAGTTTCCAACGGATCAGCATGCTCGACGGACCAAGTAGGTTATCCAGCGAGAACAAAACGGATTTGATGTTTAAAAGTACAGTAGGGGTGACATCAATTCTGACCGTGGCGCAACTCACCGTGGGAAACGAGGAGAAGAGCCAGTGCCAAAACCAGCATGGCGCGGACAGCATTCACGAGCCTGAAACCCGTTGCCATGGCTAGGGAACGACTGGATTGAGAGGACGAGATGAGGCCAAAGGGGGAATGGGAGAACTCGGAAAAACGCTGGCAAGTGCTTGAGGAGGGAAGAATGATGTGTTGAGAAGACGGGATGGGCTAAATAAATAGTAATGCTGATATGATCACCGAGTTTTGACTCCTCGCATCGCGGAAAAAGGGTTTGGTCCAGAATCGAGTTCAGGTCTGAAGGCTGCTGGAATGTTGCGGATACGTTGCAGGAGGAGTGTCCGAAAAGCACTGAGTGAAAACAGCAACTTTCGGCGATCTCGGCTAAGCGGGGAAACCGAGCCGCACATTTCAGATACGTGGGAGAACCGAGCCGCGAATTTGTAGCGTGAAATTCGCTACATTTGCACCGAACTGTACACCTGTTCACGACCCAAACTTCGAATTTGCCTTGGTGTTTTTCCGTTGGTGTGCGATCAGGGAACACTTCGCACGAAAATAGTTTGGGTTTTCGAAAGTTGCGAGCGCAGTAACATGGATACGAAACCGGACGAAAGTGCGAAGGCAGAACCATGTATCGAAACTCACAACAGGCACACGGTAAATTGACACACCCAATCAAATCCAAGTGTTCAGATTTCGGTATACTGACGTGGCTTCCCCGAACCAATGAAATAGAACCTCCTGATTTATTACTAACCAATGACTGGTGTGATGTATTATAAATCAGAGATCAACAGCGTTCCCTCACGACACACCTTCTGAATGACAAATTGTATACTGTTACGGGTGCAATGAATCGAAGTAGCGAGAATTGCACTAAGGTGTCAAACGAGTACAAAATGTGAGCGAAGGCATGAGCGAACATTTATACGCGAAACATACAAAACGGTAACGCGGTGCGTGCGAGCTTGCTAGTGCTACGCTGAAGCGAGGCTCGGGCTA